TTTTCACTGGGGAGGGGCTGCAGGTCATAATTGGGCGCCACGCCCCGGATGGGCGCCATAGTCGCATCGTATTGGCGCTGAAATATTGGCGCCCAGTGGCCCTGACAAGAGGCGCCCAGGATCAGTATGTACAGTGACACCACACGATTGGAAATATCGGTGCGGAGCGTACTGAAACGACGTTATTCGACTGATTTTTGCATCCTAGTCCTAGTATGCGGCACTCCGATGAGTTACGAATTGAAAATTGGCGCCACTGCGCCTTCGGCGCAGTGGCGCCAGTTTTCCTTGGGTGGGGGCTGCCAGCCCCCGCAGCCCCCCCCCTGGATCCGCCACTGCGGTGTGGGACCCTCAAAAGTCACCAGTGAGTGGCCTTCAGATGCACAGGTGTTGGTTGGGTCCTCAGAGCCGCCGATACAGAGCTTACAGGGTGGGGCAGAAAGATTTACCTCTTGATTTTCTTAAATATTTCGGCCCCGAACAAAGATATCAAATTGATTTCTGGCACATATATGCAGTAACATGTACACATCTCAACGACGGCATAATGACTCAATATGGTCACCTTTGCCTTCACCACTGCTTCGAAACGTCCCTCTGCGGAGGGGCACGAGCGCCGCACTGTGTCCCCGCCAAGATTCGACGGTGCCGTCTCGAGGGCCAGCTTCAGGGCGGCGATTCTGCTGTGTGGCACTGCACACACCCTCCTCTCTAAGATGGCCCAGATTGCGAAGTCCATCGGGTTCAGGTCTGGACTTGATGATGGCCGAATGTCTTTGTCCCAGAACCCAGGCATGTGGGTCTTCCACCACGGTTGAGCGATGTTGGCCGTTTGCAGCGGCGCACCGTCCTGGACGAAGACGTATCCGTCTCAGAACGACTGAGTGACCCAAGACAAAGCATGTTCCTCCAGCAGATGGACTTGAACCTCTGAATTCACTTTCACAGCCTCCTTGATGAAGACCAAGGGGTGCCGTCGGATGCGACGGTAGCCCAAACCATGACACCAGCAGGCTTCAAGCAACAAAAAATGGTGCGAATAGCAGGATCAATGCTGGATGGACCATCTGCCAAAATGTTGACGCTTTGGGAGTGTCTCTGGGGCTCAGGCATGAACATGTTGTCATTGGACCAGCAGAATGCCTTGTTACCGGCGCTCCTGATCTCCAATGTCTTTGGGATCCTGTGTAGCCGGTTTTCCTTGGATGCCACCGAAATTAGGTGTCGGCGTTGCATCCTGTATGACATAAAGCCTAAGCCGTCGTTTATGGTTCTCTTGGCGGTTCTGGGCTAAACAACGAGTTCCCTTGGCAGTTTGCGCATGCTTCGCCTAGGAATTGAAACACCTTCTTGTGCACGATATCAACTGGCTTTTTGAAGCGGAAATCCCTTGTTCTGCCTGGCATGTACTTCGACGACACTAGCACTGTCTTTTTAAGTCATTTAATTATACTGTTAACAGTTTTTACGGCAACACCGAGCTGTTTGGCAACGCTTCGGGAGCTGTGGCCAGTCTACTTCAGCGCCGCAATTTGGGCTCACTTAGTCATCTTCGCCATAGCTCACCAACAACTATTACAAAATGTAAAAACGATCTTAAAGTTGATACATGAGTCAGTTGGGAAGCTGCATGCAAAATTTTATCAAAATCCGTTCATAACTTTTTAAGTAATGGACTGAAAACAAACAGGTAAATCTTTCTGTCCTACCCTGTAATTTTAATAGGTTTGGTGTAGGCACTCAGAGTTGGGGGTGGGAAACCCTCAGAGACACCGGTGTGGGCCCTCATAGGCGCCGATGAGGGTCCCATAGTGGCCGTTATGGGGCCCTCAGAAAAGTAAGTGTGGGACCATCACAGGCGGGAAATGCCCCTAGAACTGGCCCCTCATAGGCCGGTAAGGACTCTCAGAGGCCAGTAACGGGCCTTTGGAGACCACCGAGGTGCCCTAAAAAGGCGCAAGAGGCGCTCAGAAGCCGGCGTGGGGCCCTTATGGAGATCTTGTGTGGCTATTTAGGGCCCATGTGGTGCTCTAACGAGCCCCATGGGGCGTCAGCGGTTTGACCTTCAGCGGTCAAATGGCGCCGCAGGGCCCCTCGGACCCGAGAGTCCCTTTGAACCCGATGGAGGGGGTGGGGGGGTACGTGTCCCCTTAGACCCCTAGCTACGCAATTGTTTCATATGCATCATGTCAGGTATTTTAGGCTCGCCCCCCCCCAACTTGAAAATCGTTCCCGGGCCCCTGGGTACATTGCTGTGGGCACAGGTAGTATCGAATCAGAACAGGCAGCGCGGCGATCGCCTATATGTAGACGCCCTTGGTCTCCGGTGGCTTAACAGGGCCTCCTCTAACATACCCACTGGGTGGGCAAATGCCCACCCAGTCACCACAATTGCCCACCCAGTGGCGTCGAGTTGCCCACCCAGAAGCAAATGCAAAAATAAAGGTTTCTTCGGTTTCTTAAGCAAACTGGATGCTGTTTGAAAGACAAAAAAAGTTTTCTGGTTGCCCGATATTCAGGGGCGTAGCCAGGATTTCCTCAAGGAGTGGGTCAAACTTACAGGGGCCCAAGGTAACCCCCTAAAAATCCAGGACATCGGATTTGATCCACTATTTCTTAGAGATGGCCCAAATGAATAGAAAATATTTATTTAAAAAGAATGCTAGAACTGAGGGTGTAAGCAGTCCATGGGCCCCTGTTAGATACACCCACAAATAGCTTCATAGAGTCGCTCAGCCGGTTCTGAGGGCGGTCTGAGTGTCTTGTAGAGGTCGGATTAGGGTCCTTTAGACCGTCAAAGGCCTCTACAGCCCATGAGAGCCTCGTAAGCCGTCTGAGGGTCATATAAGCCGTCTAAAGGCCACTCAGACCGACAAAAGGCCCCCTTGCACTTGCAGAGGGCACTGTCAGGCCGACGGAGGACCCTCTCAGACAAACTAAGGGCCTGTTCAGGTCATTTGAGGGCCTCCTCAAACCGATAGGGGCCCCTAAGATCGATAGTGGATCCGATGTGAGATCCCTCAAACCGACATAGGGTCAGACCAACAGTCGGAAACCAACAGATCAACAGAGGACCCTTCAGGTAAACAGAGGGCTCTCTGGTCGATCGAGGGACCCATAGGCCGTCAGGGGCCCTCAACAGAACAGCAGAGGGCCTCTCCCCCCCCCCCCCAGGTCGGAACTCGGAAGAGTGCCCCTCATGTCGATAGAGGACCTCTTCAGGAGGGGAAAAAAGCCCCTCCAGTTGATAGATGCCCTCTCGGACGAACAACGGGCCCCTCAGGCCGATCGGGAGCCGCTAAGACCGACAGAAGGCCCTCTCAGTTCAAACTCCAAAAAGGGACCCTCATGCAAATAGCGGTTCCTTTAGACTAACAGGGGGCCCTTCAGGTGTTCTACAATTAAATATGCATATTATTTTCGCATTGATTTTATTTACACACCGTTGGACCCATCCCATCCACCTGGGCCCCCTGGTTTTAATAGGGCCCCAAGGCTCTAAAATTGAGGCTCCCTTGGACGAAGTATGGCTACTCATCTGTGTCAAAGGATCTGTCGCAGGGGCCTTTGCGTCGCCAAGGGCCCACTGTGTTAGCCAGGGGCCCCTATGGAATAGGGGCCACTTGAATTCCAGGAGGGGCCATGGTCTCTTTGGCCCGTCCTTGGCTATGCCACTGCAGGTGACAAGCGTTCTTTCAGGCGACCAGGGGCCCCAGGCGACCAGGCCCCCCAGGCGACCAGGGGCCCCCAGGTGGCCAGGGGCTCCCAGGCGGCGAGGGGCCCCCAGGTGACCAGGGACCATAGGCGACCAGGCCCCCTCGGCGACCAGGGGCCCCCAAGCGACCAGGAGCCCCCAGGCGACCAGGAGCCCCAGGAAACCGGGGGCCCTCGGATGACTGCAGGGGCCCATTGGGTCATCAGGGGCACCTCGGGTAACCAGGGGCACAGAAATGAAACTTCGATATCAATTTTCTTCCAAGTAAAAGACGTTTTATCGAGGTTTTTTTAATATCCCGGGGCCATTGCCCCCGTGCCCCCCCCCCCCCCCCTTGGCTAAGCCCCTGCCGATATTGGTATTTGTGGACAAAGACAGCTAAATCTCTAAACACGGCTGAGCTGAACAAATAAAAAAGAATCATGACCGGTTCAGGTAGCCTTTAATACAATGTATTATGTTAGTTAAAACACTGACCTGATGATGACAAGCACGCAACAACCAGCAGTATGTATTCATTTTTTACGGTACCTATATGATCATTTTAACGAGTGTAATTTCAACTTTTGCTACGAAATGCATAACAAATCGTCTTTTAGTATCTTACATGATGCCTGTCATAATAATCGATTACTGAACAAAATTTGCAACACTTATCGGTGAGGTTTGTAAATTAGGAGCTCTAACTCGCTGTTGCATCTGTAAGTCCAGGTAGCACCCCTCTCACGGCATTGGGTTTTAATCGGTATTTGTAAAAAGTAATTGTCTCGTAAGTGAATAGGCATGTACGGCCCTCCAGCAAAAGAGTGGTTGGTTAGTCGTTACGTTTTAGGCATTATAACTTCGAATGACAGAGCCACTCCAGTAAAATGACTCAATAGGAATAAGAAGAGGGTTCATGTGGACACTTCGGCAATAGCTTTCAACAACCATTAGATGTATTTATCAACGCAGATCGATTTTTGTGAAGTTAGCAACCAACCACTAAATACCTGGAGAGCCGTACAATGTATATGTATATCTGGAACGAATAGACGTCACGAGCATCGCTAACCATAAAACACGCGACAAACGTTAACTTTGCAAACTATCATCTTGTTTCCAATAATGGCACAGCTTACGAGTATTTCGCCTCACCCGGCCACAGGTTTTAAAATTGGTTGAACCCCAAAACAAGTGGCTGGATCCGCCCTTCATGGGCAGGGGAGGGGCGAAAAATTTTGCCCACCCACTGAAAAATCCTTAGAGGAGGCCCTGTGGCTTAACGCTCTTTTTTCATCCCCAGAGATGATCATATGAAGCTTTGGGATAAAATCAAGCGGATATCAAGCAGAACGAACTCGACCATGCCACCAACTTTCTCAGAGTTCGTCGATTTTGTCATATGGTCTGATGAAAACGATACAGTGATGGACGGACATTGGGACACCCAGGTGAGCGAATAACTCATATCCCGTTCCCCGCTGGGGGAGGGGGCAGATTTTGCGGCCTTGTGTTATGTGTAACTTACGAACACATGGTCGTAGAAAGGCGGGGAAAACGGCAGTCGAAAACTCTAAACAGAATGAAACCTTGGATCATTTTCCCTTTGGTCTCTATGTTAATTTTTATGTAAACCTGGTGTGCAGGTTTAGCTTCCATCCATAGTTTTCGACCCTAAATGGTAATTCCAGCATGTATATGGTATGATGGCGTCAGAAGTATTCTGGTAAGTTACGCATCGGAAGAGTGGGTTTGGGGGTGATATGACCATGACCATCGGATCCGGCGTGAAAAATAACCCTTAAAGGGACTATCCCACCTTTAACATGGGGTTTGAGTTGAGATAGCCAAGTTTGCGGCGAGGTTCAGAAACCACTATCTATCTAGGTTGCAACCCCCGCGGCCTCTTGGTGTTGAAGAAATTCGTTCCCTTCATTTGAAAATGGGCCTTGTACAAGGCCCTATCTTCAACATGGAGCGACCGTTAGTGTGACGTCACCTCGTTTAGTCATTCTGATTTAAATGGGTTTGTTCGTTGAAAAATCGCTTAAAACTTGGTCTGAACTTTGTTGTGGTGCCTACAGAGTAAAAAGAATCACCTTTATGACAGTAATGTGGCCTGGGGAAGGAGGTAATTTTGGGCTGTGACGTCACATATTTGAAAGTTTGTGTTTGGAATATGGGAAGCCTAAGATGTTTAATGAAAAATAAATGCCAGAACCGTGTTCCTGGTCATCCAATCTATAAAGTCGGGCACAATTTAACTGGTTTTAACAACATTTTAGAAGGTGGGATAGTCCCTTTAAGCATGGCGGGACCTATTGGTTTTCTACAAACGCACCGACCGAGGAAGGGATGGGGGCGGGTCTAGGGCATATGCTTACGAGCATTTTCCACTCAGACATTTTCTTACGTTTTTTGTTACGATGCATTATTCTTACGGTCTTTTTCTCTTAACCCGCGCACCCGCGACGGGGGCCGCGCCAACTAAGAACCGACGGGAGGGGGCGGTTGACACCCCCCCCCCCTGAGATCTCGAGAACAAAGCAAGATAGCGACAAGCGGTAAACGGCATGGTGTACGCACGGACAAGGTCTACAAATTTTACGGAGGTCATTTTTAGGTCAAGTCAAAGATGAAGTCACAGGGGTCAAAATGGCTGCGCTAAAAATAGTTTTTTCTCGAAAAAAAAAACTTCGAAGTAGCCAAGCTAGGAACAAACTAATGGCACCATCGTGATCCTCTGGTCACTCCGCATCGAATCATATATGTGTTGACCTCGAGAGTTCAAGGTCAAAGGTTGACCTCAGGTCACGTGACCTCAAGGTCATCATGCATATTTTTCGATGCGCCTTGACGAGCTGAACACATTGAGACCATCCGCGCGGCTGTATCTCGGGTGCAACCTTCGACCTGCCCCTCTCTCTCTCTCTCTCTCTCTCTCTCTCTCTCTCTCTCTCTCTCTCTCTCTCTCTCTCTCTCTCTTCTCTCTCCTCTCTCTCTCTCTCTCTCTCTCTCTCTCTCTCTCTCTCTCTCTCTCTCTCTCTCTCTCTCTCTCTCTCTCTCTGATTTATTTAAAGATCCCTAGGGATCATAGATAAAAGTCTAATTTTTTGCTTGTGATCCAGTGAGATCATAAATCCTCATCTATTTGTCAACACAGAAATCCCAGAAAATTACTTGTTGCAACTTACAAAGATTCTGTTTTTAGTGATTTTACGAGTGTGTGTGAATAACAACATATACAACTACAACTGTGATTTTATGAGATTGCGCGTCATAGTCCAAAGTTTTGTGGCACTTATGACATAGAAACACTTGGAAACTTGGTTTCAAACGTTGTACAGGTCTCGCGGGTTTTAGCGGTAAGTTTTGCACCTAGAAAATTTAGTGTAGGTACTTCAGGCTATATCTTAGTCGCCTTAAGCTTTTAAGTGTTGAAGATGCGATCGACTTGTTGGGTAACAAGCCGGCCATGATCGTGTAAAATGGCTTCATCGTACATGGATTAGTTTCTGAGATATAACCGGATATGTAAAAGTGCAAAACCTACCACTTAATCTCGCTAGACCTGTACATGGCGGGATCCACTCAGCTCATAGATCCGTGTTCTTAGTTTATCGTCAGGTCCAAGGAGATCATAGATCCAAGATCAATTTTTACACGCCGGATCCGGTGGAATCTCCTAACCTGCAGTTTGCTTCAAGATCCACTGTGAGCATAGATCCATCATTCGGATCCATGTACAGGTCTGGTCCGCCCTGACCCCTTAGAACTGAACTTATCCCTAATGTACGGGTGTTCGCGAAAATATGTCATGATTTCGTTGCACTATTATAGAAAACTCAAGAAAGATAAAATGAAAAATCTTTCAGCTCCAAATAGCTATGTCCTTCAAGTTTTATTTCAGACATGTCACATGGTCATGCGTTGAGTCGTACGCACTCTACACCCCGTTTTCCACATGGCCCCTTTTTCGGCTTATGCAAAGCTCGGCCCGAGCTTCCACTTGTCGGATCACTCGGACGCACGTGTCCGTAGTGATCGCACGGGCGGCCTCTGTTATCGCTCTCTTGAGCTCGGCCAGACTCTTGGCCTTCGTTTTTCTGACCTCAGATTTGAGATATCCCCATAGGTAGAAGTCCATGGGGGTGAGATCTGGTGAGTGTACCAGCCATGGGGTGGGGGTCTTCCTGCTCAGGATACGAGCTCCGAAGTGGTCAACCAGCCACTGCAGAGCAAATCTGGAAGTGTGAGCCGGAGCCCCATCCTGCTGGAACCAATATGTGCCGTTCCTGATCTTGTGTTGCTTTTGGTGATCGCACAGCTGTTGCCAAAACTTCTCCAGCACTGCTGCGTAGCCGTGTTGATCAACAGTGGGGTGGTGGATCCATTCGGGGACTCGAAGAAAAAAGGTCCCACAACACCACTTGCACTCATCGCGCACCAAGCGGTGACCTTCGGACTGTGAAGTGGACGTTCTGACACAGCCTCAGGTGGTACATTATCCGCCCAAAGGCGACTGTTTTGTCGGTTGGGGTCTCCATGAAGGTAGAAGTGGGCCTCGTCAGAAAACCAGACACGGCTGGTGAACTGTTGATCGGAGTTGACCTTGTCCTTCAACCACATGGCAAAGGCCAGCCTTTGCTTTTTATCTTCTTCTGAGAGCGCCTGCTGGATCTTGATCTTGTACGGCTTGAGTCCCAAGTCAGTGTGAAGGACAGAATGTACCAGGGTGGGGCCGCACCCAACTTCTTGCGCGAGCTGCCGGATGGATTTGGAAGGCACTCTGGTGACCAACTGCTTGATCTTTTTTACCATTTCTTGGACCCTTTTGAACTTTTTTCTGCCACTTTGTCCCTTGTTCTCATTTTTGACTGTGCCCTTTCCAAAGAACTTTTCTTGCAGTCGCAAAATCGTCCTTGCGCAAGGCGCAGTGGACGTTTTAAAGCAGGTGCGATAGCGTCGCTGAGCTTTCGCTGGACGGCCACAATGGACTGCGTCTCCCAATACCATTTCACTATTTTTGTTTTCTGGTCTGTAGAGAGCAACATGTTGGAACAAACTCGCTAAAAACACATGAAACAAAACTTGAAAATTTGTTTAATTGAATGAATAAAAAATAATACACCTTACTTTGACAAGGGTCCTCCAGGAAGCAGATAAAATCATGACATTTTCGCGAACACCCTGTACATATATATTGAGACGGACACAACACATTCTGGTGGACGCGTTTCAAGAGACTTCTTCAACACCCCTTCAGAAATGGAAGCAATACAAGCACACACAAGAATAAAACTTGCACAACAGATTAAACGGACCCTCCCACCTTCAAAAAAGTTTATGAATTGGCATGAAAGTGATGTCGCTCGGTTCAGAAAGAGCGAAAACGAATATATACCAAATTTCACCGAAATATATTCACCGGTTTTCAAGATATTAGACTTTTACTTTTGTTTACTTTTTGGGATCTCCGCTGTTCCTAGCGACTTTATTTGGAAGCAATAGTTTGGCAGCTGAAAGTGCGGCACTTGTTGCGCGCAAAGCAGCATATACCACCTCGTGCTACAAAACGTTTTAGTCAAACATTTAAAAATCGTTAGATATCTGCGCTGACGTCACACATTCAGAGGGGTATTCCTATGCATTAGCCCCTCTGAATCAAAATGCTGCATTTTGAAATTCAATATTTCCGATTTAAGGCATTTCTCGATGTTTTGAGTGCCGAAACCGGTAATTGTGAGCCAGCGACCCCATTTTGGCTATCTCTACTCAAATCTAATGTTAAGGTGGGAGGGTCCCTTTGAGACACCGTTGAAATATAGGACATGGTAAGAATGCGCATAGCTATAAATAATGACCTCCGATAAAAATTGCTAGCCGGTATACATTAGAGATGTCAATCGGATACCAACTTTTTGGTATACCGATACCAAATCGATACCAACTTGGTATTTGGTATTTCAATCGTAATGTGTTTGGTATTTTGTTGGTATCATAAACCCTCACTAATATATTAGAGGCTAAGAAATCGGTAAGAAGTTGGTATTTTCATCACTTTCCCAACAAAATCATTGCACACGCTACGACATGAGGGTGTACATATAGTCGTTCCTATCATTTTTGGCCTTTTATACTGAATACTGCTGCCGATTTTGCCCACTTAACCTTCGCCCCAGTGGGGGGTGGGGGGGCGGGGGGCATATGTTACCACCCGTCGCGTTTTTTGCGTGTGAATAAAAAACCGCGGCGCTTGGGGTAGCTTTTGGTACATCAAATTTGGACAATGTGTGAAATTTTTGACCCCAGGTCATGTCAGGTCAGGTCACCAGGTCAAGTTAACTGACCAAGCCTAAAAGTTTGCAATCATGTCCAGCCTGCAGTGTTTGTCAGAGAGGTTTTAAACTTGGTGGATTGCATGATGTTTCGGGTGCCTACAATTTCTATA